GGGGAAGGCCTCTCAGTTCACCATTTCCTCGTGGGGAAGGAAGGCACGAGGACGGTCAGAGTGGCAGCAGGTCACGGGGGTCTTGCTCAGATCTCAGTGGCTGACCAGGAAGCTGAGAGCTCCAGGCCAGAAGCACCTGACTGTAACCCCCAAGGCCCTCACCCCAGGGACTCCCTTTCCCCAACTAGACTCCACCTCCTAAAGGTCCCACAACCTCCCAAAGCAGTGCCACACCCTCGAGACTAAGTGTCAACAGGAGTCTACTGAGGACGTTTGGTCTGTACTCACAGCACAGGAGGGCCGGGTGCCGAGCACCCCATGCCTGGAAGCCGCCCTCATGCACAGCCCTCTATGGAGCTCCAGTCCCCCACAGCTCACTGACTGCTGCAGGAGACACACCCTGACACACTTGCTGCTGTCCACCACCATAATTCTTTCCTCAGAACTTTTGAGAGACGGGGTGAGGCAGCAGTGGGCTCCGTGGTTAAACCACTGTCATGGTTAGCTTCAACTAGTAATCTGAAACAAACCTAGGGTCACCTGGGAAGGGAACACCTCAACTGAGGAACTGCCTCCATCACACTGTACCGTGGGCATGTCTGTGTGACACTTTTTTGGACTGTTGATTGATGCAAGAAGGCCTAGCCCACTGTGGGCTGTGCTACCCCTGGGCAGGTAGGCCTAGGCTGTATGAAAAGGTAGCTGAATATGGGCTTGGGAGTAAGACAGTAAGCGGTGCTCCTCTGTGCTCTCTGCTTCAGTTCCTGCCTCTAGGTTCCTCACTGAGCCTCTGTCCTGACTTCTTTTGATGACGTAAGATGTAATAAACCCTTTCCTCCCCAAGTTGTTTTTTTGTCATGGTGTTGTATCACAGTAACAGGAAGCCAGCTATGACAGTATCATGGAAGAAAATAATACATCACTTTGAGCCTGTTTCTGGGGTAGAGTCACTGTGCACACAGGGAAAGAGCTGCCCAGCCAAGGGGTTACACACAAAAAAGGAATCAAGACCACTCACAAGAGGAGACAGGGTGGATAATTCCTCCAATAAGGTCACAAAACTTCAGAAGGTGAGGTCTAGATAACAGATGAGATTGTTGAGAGATCTCGAAGGCTATACTTACTTCAGGTTCTGGCTAATCTCTCTGTGCACTACCCAACAGGATGTGAAAAGCTCTCACTGCCACGGACCAGCCTCTCATCCCCATGCCTTCCCCGCCATGGTACCCAACAGGATGCGAAAAGCTCCCACCGCCAAGGACCAGCCTCTTATCCCCACGCCTTCCCCGCCATGATATACACGTGTGCTCTCTGGAACTGTGACCCACAATAAGCCCGTTTTCCTTAAGCTGCACTGTCACAGGGGTGAGGAAGGTGGTCAAGTCAGCTCAGCATGGAGGCCAAGACTCTTCTTCCTCACCATGGAACCTTCCCCAGCCAACTCCAAGGCTGGCAAGACCTTCACCTGTCACAGATGAATCCGACATGCTGAAATACTTAGTACTTCCACAAAAGCCTGGGCGTGGGAGTGCCAGCCTGGCATGATGAATTTATTAAAGAATGAATACTTACAAAGTGAAAGTGTCGACAACTGGAATTAGCTGAGTTGCTTATATACCAGATAAGGCATCAGCCTTCAGGACATGGCAATCTCACGGGCCTAGAGGACATGCTAGAGAATTCAGGGACAGAGGAATTCCCATGGGGTAGAGCTGCAGCAGGGGTGCGGAGAAGGCAGGGTTTCCAGATGGACAACTGGAGACCCTGGAGACAGAGTGCGGAGTGGGGTGTGATCCACCAAGGGCAGACACCGGCAGCAGGAAAGGCAGACTGGTAAGGCACAGGAGGTCCCCTGCAGGGCCTGCTATGAACCCAAGCGATCACACAGGCAAGGGAACTAAGCTGGGCCCTGGGGAGTGGTCATAGTCGGGGCTCCAGCCATGGAAGAATAGTCCCAAACATACAGCTTCAGAAAGCAAGTTCTCTCCAGTCATTGATTTGGATAAACTGTATACAAGTGAGAAATGACTCTCAGTCCCATCTCTGCCACTTGAGCATACAAGTTTTTTTAGCAAGTTCACACATTCCTTCACCTCTGTTCCCCCCGAAACTGTTAATCATTCTTGTCTTGGCTGCTCAGTATCATTTGATCTAATAATGGTGAGAGCTCTGGGCAATGTCTCCAAGGTTAGGAAATAAGTACCTTGAATGCTTGCTAATCACGTCAAAAGACGCCCTTGGCTGGTGTTCCAGCTGAGTGCCAGGGTGTAGACAACTCTTCCTTGCATTCACATGTAACTGAACAATGTCCACAGAGGAGCAGGACTGCACACACTATCTAACGTAGGTATGGTGCATGCATTCCTCCAGTGTCTCCTGACAGGAAGAGACACAGCCATGTCTCAGAAGAGAGTGGAGGATGTGAGGTGAAGACAGCCCAGCACCTGGCAGCTGGAGGAAGAACTCACCAGCCGAAAGCGTGGCCAGGCCCTTCACTGCTGTGGGGTGGCAGCCAGATGCTTGACTTCTGGCCAAGCTACGTTCCCTTCACTGCCACCCAGAGTCGCCCTTGACAAACCACCAACACTCTCTGGGCCTCAAGCTCTTCTACGAAACATTACTCCCATGCCCGTCTCTACAACCTGACAGAATAAAACAAGCAGGCCTCCCAACTCGCTCCAGGGCTTCACCTGGAGCACTGACCTTCCCCTTTCCCAGAACAGTAGATAGGTGCTGAGCCCTAACTCAACATGTTGGGACAACTGCAGGTCAGACCTCAGCCAGAGTGAGAGATGTCACTAAAGGAGCCCTGGGATTTGCCCAGTCTCCTCACAGTTTGGAGTTGGACATCCTGAGCCCCGGGTGTCCTGCAGACCCGGAGAGCAGCCCAGCAGAGGCCACTGTTGGGACAGGATACACTACTAGCCCACAGCTGCCCCGGCCAAGGAACTGGGGGCTGCGAGCTGGCAGAGCGCTGTTATCCACTCAGATCCTGGCTTCACATGTGCTGGCGTGTGCTTGGTTTCATCTTGAGGTTGAGCTGTTTGAGCTGTTCACTGCTGGCACCTGTCTATGTCCTCCCAAAGCAACCTTTTCCCGAGGGGGACAGCTCCCCTCCTGCTCTGCCTCCATAGCCTGCCTCCTAGTTTCAAGTATCGTTTGGTTGCCAAAGGGAGAAAGTACCTTTCCGGATCATCCAGGGAATACCTGCAGATGGTCCCCAGGCGTAAGCACTGGCACGGATTTCTGTAATCATGTATGCATGCTCTTTACTCCATAAGCTACCCCTTCTACCCTAAAGTCACTGTCTGCTTTCTGAGTTAACCAGCAAATCTCAAAAACACACAGAAGAGGCATCTTTGCCATTCACATGAAGACATGCCAGTGTGACACACAGTCACTCATGACACAAGGAGAGGTGGCTTGTATGGAACCGTGCCTCCCTGAGTACAGGCTAGGAGTCTCAGAAGCCTGTTCTACACGAGGGCATGGAAAGCCCCGAGTCCAGGATTCAAAGGAGTTCTATACATCCAACAAGCACTGTGTGTGCAGTTCCGACTCTGTGGGAAACACTGAAGAAACAAGAGTCGGGGCCAGCCTTGGTTCTTGGTGATCAAGGTGAAAGACAGAGGCACACAAAACCAGAAGGGAGAAAACCACATCCACGTTCGCATGGAGTAGAGTTCTCATAACCCTCAACCAACTTGTCTGGAAGAACTTGCCTCCAGAACCCTACAGAGGGAAGGTTTCTGGAGGAATGTGGCTGACCAGCGCAAAAAGCAGCCGACAAATGTGTGAACTGTGACATGTTTCCTGACTTCCAGCATGGAGGCCCTCCTGAGGGAGGAGTAGGGAACGCTGGCTTGGTAATGTAAGCTGCCCTGACTACACAAGGCAAGAAGAACCCTCCGCGCTTTGACACTGCCTGACATTCAAGGTACTGAATGATCTTTAGAGTCCCATCCATTGCTGTCTGAAAGCTGGGAACCAACCAGGAAGAGGCTCTCTCTGAAGAGAGTGACCTGTGACTACAGAAGGCTAGTTTTTTTTTTTTTTTTTTTTTCGAGACAGGGTTTCTCTGTGTAGTTTTGGTGCCTGTCCTGGATCTCGCCCTGTAGACCAGGTTGGCCTTGAACTCACAGAGATCCGCCTGGCTCTGCCTCCCAAGTGCTGGGATTAAAGGTGTGTGCCACCACCGCCCGGCTGCTAGTTCCTGCCCATTCACTTAACCCAACACTGTGTTTATTTCTTTGGACGCCAGCTTCACCTGTCACTTTGTCCTGGCTGGTTACATCCAGCTCCACAGTACACTGCACACTAGAGCTCTGCTTTCTATATGCTTTTCCTGTCCCAAGATAAGCACAGCTTGACGGAGGGATGGCACTGGTGGGCTGGAACTGCAGCTGTTTGGAAGAGTGTGAGGCTCCTTCTCATGTTCGCTGAAATTCCTGTTTTCACCACCAAGCTCCAGCCAACCCACCCTCCTTTTCCATGGTAAGGAAACCCCCACAGGTAGACCTGTGTTCAGATGGGACAACCACCAAAGGACAACACAGGTGCAGAGGCAAGCTGGGTCAAATATAGGGGTACACACCCCTTTCCAACTCCCCGAATCTACCAGCTACTGGAATGCATCAGTGAGGAAGCCCATTATACTAGAGCGTAGGTGTGGACATGAAGGAGCCGAGCGCTACAAAGCTCCAGGATGCTTCCTATGCAGCTGAGCACTTTACAAGAGAAGAGAAGTGGAGCCAGGAGAGGCGCTGCTTGCCTTGGTGCAATCTGTTTACACATCATGGGGAATGGAGGTCTGTTACCCAGTCCTGCGCTGACCACAGCCAGGACTCAGACCCCAAAAGCAGCCCAAGCAAAATGCAGCCTTGTCTTTGACACGCCCCCTCCCCCCAACCCAGCCAAATAGGAATAGTTGATTTACTTACATACAACCCAACGCCAAACTCCCAAGTCAAAAGAAAACGCTGGGCCAACACGAAGCTTACCCCGCTTCAGGAGTTCTAGAAGCAGACGTGCTTTGGCGCTCCCGGTGGCCTCTTGGCTTGCTGCTGCTGCGGCTTTCAGAGCTGCTCACGTGTCCTGTCCCCAGGGACGACTTACTGTGGGCATGAGCTGTCGGGCCATCCTCATACCCATTCAAAAGGCCTTGGCCAGCTCGGGTTCTTGTTCTTGTTGGCCGGCATCCCTCTGATTTGTCCTTCCGTGGTGCTGAGACATCCCGGGCTGGTTTGTATCCATGAGAAATCAGGAGATCTTCCACACTGTACATGGTGCAGTGTCATCAAAGCTCACCAGTTCGGACCATCATGGCGGCAGGACCCATCACTGAAAGGATAACAAAGAGCTGCATTTATGAATGCCCACACTGAAGTGGACACCCACCCTCCCCAGGCCTGTCGGGGAAGCCTATCTAGACCTTGTCTGGGAAAGATGGGATCTCACTAGGTAGTTCACACTGACTGTATGAACTTGCGATCCTGCTGCCCCAGGTTTCCAAGCATTGGAGTCACAGGTGTGTGCTACTAGACCAGCCAGGGGCCACGGGAAACCTCTGTGAAACAAATCTCTTCACAGTGATTTTGTACAAAGTTTTCCATCTCTCAGCCAAGGGTGGCCACGGGTAAATCTGGCCTGGGGACCAGCACATTTAGTGGCTTATCCCAGGTTATTAACTAGAGGCAAGAAGATCAAAGAGAGGGAATAAAGACATCCTAAGAGCAAAAACATCCTCAGAGACTGGGTCCAGCCCTGGCCTGGACAACCTGGGTTAGGGAGCTCCATCCCCAGCCAGCCACTCCACTGGTGTAGGGGAAGTCACTATGGCCACCAAAACAATTGCTAAGAAATGCATGCTGGCCAGTGCACAGGCGTGATGAAGCTGCCTGCACTTCCTGCCAGCGGGCATTCTCCCTGGGTCCCTGCACGGTTCTGCTGACCCCTGGGTGCATGTCACCCATTAGAACACACAAGCAGAGACGTCTCTGCGGTCAGCTTGGGGATGATCACACTTTGTAGGTCTAGAACTGTGCATGGTGTCCCTCTAGGTTTTGGAAGGTTGGAAAGCTCTGGGAGTTGGTGACCTCACAGAAAACTCTCTGCCACCATTCCTGACACTGCTTTGTGACTTTCGGGACGTCGCAATAGTGTGACTTTTGGGAAGTCGCAAATGGGCCATTCACTTACACAGCCAAGAAGGACCAGAGGAACAAATATTTCTTCAAATCAGCTTAGCAAGGACCTTGGCTAAGGACTAGAGAAAAGAAGCGGCAGCACAACTCGGGGCTGTGTGAACGCTGGGGAAGGTTACTTCGTCGGGGATTTTTGCTGGCCACACCCCCAGCATCCAACAACTAATCTGCTTTCTGGAAAGACTTGTGAAACGGGCGCATGAACGAGAGAAAGGGTACTGGGCGTTCTGAAGAACAGTCAGGAGCTGGATAGATACACTGCATTTGTCAACATGGCAGTGCGAAACTTGGCACTTTAAACGGACTCTGGGTCTGATGACCTCAGGAGTAAAACCATGCCTTGGAGACAGAAGACTGGTGGCCCAGGGTAAAGATCTCATACCCACGAGACTGTGTCTTCCTACAGAGACGGTTGGATGCAGTCCTTCTGCATGAAACATCCATGTGGGCCACTGTCCCACTGGGGTTTGGTAAACAGCCCAACATTCCCGGGTGCCCACAATTATATTCCGAAAAATCGTCAACAGGACAACAACCCACATACTAAGGCAAATATGTCTTTCAGAAGAGATCCAGCTTGTCAAAGCCAAAGTGACCTCGGATGACTGAGGTCAAGGGATCTCTGATGTTGAAAGTCTTACCTGTTTTCATCTGGGGCCTGCAATTCACAGGTGTGGGAGTAGAGTACAGGCTTCAGTGCTTGGGGCTGAGCGACCAGCTGACCCACAGACCTCACCCATAACCCCAAAGGCCCCACCGCCATGCAGGCTCATGGAAGACTTCTGCCCCTTGGGTGTGCTCTTCACCTTTACCCAGCTCAGCCTGGCCTCTGCCTTGTTTCCACATCCATGGGAGGCCCTGACCCTCTCCTACAGCTTCCTGTACACAAGTGTTCCAACACCTGCTGGCTGCATTTGGCTTGCTTCTTTGATGTCACTTTCCATTGAAAATGGAACGGGCTGCGTCAAGCGGTAACAGTTCCTTACTACAGACAAATTAACTGCAGTGGCTGTCAAGACAGACCAATGAGGGGGCTCGGGCACCCTGAGTTTTCGTCTCCTTCTAATTCTAAGATACCAACAGCGTAGGTCAATGGCGTGTGATTCTGTCACTCTCGTACCACCATGACAACAGCCAGCACACACTGAGGCTGTCACTGTCATAAAGTTGTTCTGTAACCCAGGAAGGTAAGAGGACAGCTGAAACGACACAGGATCAGACATGACCCAGGGCCTGGTGAGCTACTCTTTCAGGTGGTGTCCCTGAAGTGGGTGGGGAACCACTCCAAGCTTTCCCATATGCAAAATGGCAACGAACCCTCTTCCCAGATTACTGCACTGTTCTGAAAGTCCAACAGGAACACGTACACATCACCATGCAAACATCATAAACAGATTATTACGCCACACTGTCAATTTTCAGCACGTGCTTTTACCATTTTCTGTCCCCTTTGGTATCATGTGGTGTGTTGCTCCTGATTTCCGACCTCATACTCACTTGGTATCACCACATACTCGAAACTCAGCCTCTCCAAGTAACCAAGAATGGAATATTGCTTTGTAAGAACAAACATTAAGACACATTTCCTAGGAGCATAGTATGCACCAAGCTCTGAACTGATAATGAAGAACAAATTCTGTGTCTCTACTGTCTGCCTGAACAGACAGTAGGCAATTAAAACTAGGCATATGTGTGTTAGAGACATGACAGGAGCTTGTCACCTATCCCGTGGGGTTGAAGAACATGGATGAAGACAGGATGACTGGAAAGAGATCCTATCCAATCTCAAGGGATTGACAAGGCCTCTGGAAGGTTCTCAGTCAAATAAAATCTCTGCCCAGGTTGCACTCTGTATTATTTTACAGCCAGTTCATTCAATAAATTTCTTCTTAGTCAGACATGGTGGCTCATTTCTCAGCACTCAGGAAGCTGAGACAGGAGGACTGTCCCAAATTCAAGGCCAACCTGGGATATCTAGTAAACTCCAGGTCAGCTAGGATACAATGCTGAGTCCCTGTCTCAGATTGAAAGAGAGAAAGAAAGGAAGAAAGGAAGAAAGGAAGAAAGGAAGAAAGAGAGAAAGAGAGAAAGAGAGAAAGAGAGAAAGAGAGAAAGAGAGAGAGAGAGAAAGAGAGAAAGAAAGAGAGAAAGAGAGAAAGAGAGAAAGAGAGAAAGAGAGAAAGAAAGAAAGAAAGAAAGAAAGAAAGAAAGAAAGAAAGAAAGAAAGAAAGAAAGAAAGAAAGAAAGGTAGATATTTTGGGGGGAGTCCTGTTAGGGTATGAGTGAGAGATATTGCTCAGAGGCTTATGTGTTTTGGACACTTTCTCCAATTGTTGGTCCCATTTTGAGAGGCTGTGGGCCTATGAGGAACAGTCTGGAGGTGAGAGCAGTGGGTTCCAGCCCCACCCCAGTTCCAGCCTGTGTTCTCTGCTCTCCGACCCACTATGATATGAACCTGTGGACACATGCCTTCACTGCCAGGGTGGAATGTGTCCTCTCAAGTATGTGTCAAAATCAAAGTCATTCTTTGTTAGATATTTGGTCACAGCAACGGGACAAGTAACTGATACATTTAGCTACATTTATTTCTTGATATGGAAATACCTAGAAAGCGATGAAGACAGTTACTATTTCACTTCTTAAGAATGGTGGTCACGACCTAGTGACTAACTTCACGAGGCACCAGTCTGAAAGAACATCAGTGTAGATGCCATCCCTCTGGTGGTCATCAGAGTGTGAGGCAAGATGACCTCTGAAGTATGTTCAAGTTCAATAATGCTATTACTCTGTGAGAAACTCCTTGGCCTAACAAGTCCCTTGCTCTCCTCTCAATAGCAAATAAAGCTGTTCTCACCTATCCGAATTGGCTTTTCAGGAAGGTCATAGCCACCACATGCTGCTGCCTTTCTGGTCTACAGAGCACCACTGGAAGAAGAAACAATTCTCCCTAAGAACAGTACCATCACTTCCTTCCTGCCTCACTCTAAGGGGATCGCTGCAGCTTGAACCCGAGGGTCCCCAACCACCACCGACTGGCACAGCCAGCATACAGAAGAGCCCATAGGGCTGGGGAAGTGAAGTACATCTTCCACTCTGGGTGTCTGGCTTGAGGAGGCCACCAAGAAGCTCTGTGTGTCTGCACTGATCGGGCTTTTCTGTTGTTGGGACATTCCTCAAGGGACTGCACCACAATGGGAACTGACCATCTAGTGAAGGGACGTGTGTCCCAGGGGACTCTGTCATCAGGGACAGGGATATCTCTTGTCTTGGAGGGAAGCTATTGCAGATGTCCTACTCCAGCAGCTGAGGTGGAGGGCAGCTATGAAGTGTGTGTGGCTGCAGCATCATGAAGACCCATGTTTTCATGTATTCGGGTGCCCCGTTTTCTTACCCCAAGAGAGGACAGGTGTCCCCAGGAGCAGGGCAATGCTGACTTAGGCACTCTGCTAGACCCAGTGGCACCCTGTGTAGGTGAGAGGGATCAAGGGTGACCCAGCAAGGTGGCTCAGAGAACGCCTCGTGGGGCCTTCAGCCACAGGCTCTTCGCTAGTGTGGTCTTGCACAACTTGGACTAAGGCAAACAAGGCTTTTCATTAAAACAAACTTTGTAAGGCAGCATACACAAAGAAGGAAAACTGGGACTCTAAAAAGTTCTCTTTTCTTGCTGAGCGTGTAATTAACATTCTAAGAATAGTTAAGATAACGCAAACTTTGGGAATTTCATTCCTGTCTTCTAAACATTTAAAGGCAGGTGCAGTGGGCTGGAGCACTGCCTGCTCTTCCGGAGGACCTGGAACTGCACACACGTGGTGAAGACACGCATGTGCAAAACACTCATGCATATAAAACAGATCTTTTAAAAACTTACAACAAAAAAAGTAAATGAAGGCAGGTACGGAGTTGCCAGTACTTGGGAAAGAGAGGTGAGGGGATCTGTGCATGTTCAAGGCAACGAGAGTGAGACCTGTGTCAGAGAGAGAGAGAGAGACAGACAGACAGACAGACAGACAGAGAGACCTGTGTCAGAGAGAGAGAGAGACAGACAGACAGACAGTGAGACCTGTGTCAGAGAGAGAGAGAGACAGACAGACAGACAGTGAGACCTGTGTTAGAGAGAGAGAGAGACAGACAGACAGA